ATCGTGATAGCACCACTGTACTTACGGTGCAGTGTGCCTGAGTGACAGAACGAGAACCCCTCCCACACACACACATCCCCATACACACATACCCATACACACACGTCCCCATACACACATACCCCACACATCCCCATACATACATACACAAGTATCAATTCTAAATGGACAAAAATGAGACCTTTTAAGTGGAAAAACATCCCGTTTGGTTGCTCTACTTGGGTAACTGTTGACTCTTTGCCAGTAAGAAAATGCAGCGGCCAGGTCTGCTGGGACCACCTGTTAAGGCTACTCTGGGCCTCATGGTTTGAGAACGGTCTGTCCAGGGAGAGTGGGAGTGGAGTGCTTAAGGCCTAGAAGCCAGTTCTTGTGGTTCAGCGTGACTGAGGGTGTGGAGCTGGGGGCAAGGATCTTCAGGGCATGAGAGGGTAAATGGATGGGCTTCCGGGATGAGCCCCGGTGACTTTGCCTGGTTTACATCCATCCAATACAAATCCACAGGCTCTTACTCTAGAAGCTTCTGCCGGGCTGATGGACTGGTCTGGGGACAGAGGGTGCCTTCTGGTTTAGGAAGAGCACTTAGTCACTAGATCTAGGATTTATGGCACTACAGGGGACTCATGACACTCGGAGCAGCAGCCATCTGCATTCTAGACTTGGTTCTAGGCAAAGTATTTTGGAGCCTGTTGGAACCCTGTGTTCTGTTTATCTGTAAAACAAGTTAGAGTTGTAAATAGCTAAAACCTATTTTTAAAATTTTCACAGAATATGGCAGTTGTGGTGGAGCCTGGCCAGAGACCCCCACACTCGGACACTGCCGCGTGCTGGGGTTGCAAGCGTTGCCTTCATCGGCTGCCTCTCCTGGCATGTCTGTGTTCTTGACACGGGTGCCCATCGAGGTGCGGCCTGTGGGACTCGTGCAGCCATTTGTCTGTGTTCCTCTGAGGTCCTGCGGACTTCATGGTCCTATGGCAGAGCGTACCGTATCTGCTTGCATCCTGATTTCCCCAAACCCCAGGACAGGCCAAGAATTCCTTACACACAGCTGCAGAGGGCCCCGGGGTGTGGATTGTGGGTGACGCAGCCTTTCCCCAGCTCGGCCTTCATCTCCAGAGTTGGCTTTAGGGCGACAGAAGCTTCCATCAGACTGGGGGGCCCTGAAGCTTTGGTGGTAGGAACTGGGTGACCAGCACGGATACCCGATTTCTTTGCATTTGGAGCAATAGTTGCTAATATGACCTATGAAATGTACAGAGGAAGGAAAAAGGAGTTTTGTTTTCAGAGTAAGTCTGTGCTTTGGGAAATGTGGTCTCGGGGGAGTAAGCACACATCCTTCAGGAAGGGGGGAGGCCGCGGCGTTAAACCTTCCGGTTTTTGTTTGCTGTGTGTGTTCATCGGGCTCATGGAATGTCTGAACGTTTACAGGGAAAGTGGGGTTTCTTCATCCGGTTCGTGGAATGTCTGAACACTTACAGGGAAAGTCTAGCACATGCGCAGTGAGTTAACCTGTAACATCCATGTTCGCCTTGGGGCTAGTGTAACATTTGAAATGAGGCGGACTCAGCGTGTCATGTACAAAGGTGAGTTGTTGGGCACAGACGTTTATGCGCAGCCTCAATCACAGCCAGGACTGGCTCAGAGTCTGCGGTTTCTGGCGGGAAAGGACACTCACGAGGCCATTCTCTCCAGTTGGGGCTGCCGTCAGGGTCCCAGGGTGGGGCTGTCTGGTTGGCTGGCGTCGGAAGTCCACCCAGGTCCGTGGGCAGCATTCCTCTAAACCAGGCTTCTGTCTGATGGTGGAGGAGACTTCAGGCTGGTTAACAAACTGCAAAGGAGTTAGTGTCGTGGGGCTTCGAGGCTGACCTTCCTCTCTGTGATGCCGATTACATTTTTCTCTGGGCCTCATTGTAGCCACAGAGAATCCACCTCGTCTGACAGCAGGGGGTGCCATGTTGACATAGTAATTTATTGTATTAACCTTTTTATTACTATTTTAATAAAAGACTTTTTTTACTTTTTAAAGTGATAGGGTCTTGTGTTGCCCAGGCTAGTCTTGAACTGGTCTCAAGCAATCCTCCCATCTCAGCCTCCCAAAGTGCTGGGCTTACGGTCGTGAGCCACTGCGCCCAGCCTACGCCAGGTTTTTAAAAGTCGGCAATTTAAAAACACTGTTCCTTTCACCCCTCAAGCAGGCTGGTTGGCCTTGTACAAACTGGGGTGTCAGGACCTTGGTCCCCCTTTTATTTTTCCCTTTCTTCGGCCTCAAGTTCTGATGGAAACAGCAGTTACAAAGTGGGCATTAGTTGAGTCTTCCGTATGACCAGATTCTCACTAGTTAGAGACGTTTGTCCCCAGGTCCCAGAAAGCTGTTTTGAATCAAGGCCTATGGCAAATAAGTAAGGAACTAAAGCCTTGGTCCTCTGCTTAGTATCTGGGAATGTGTTATTGCTCCACACCCTTTGATCTGTGCTCACGTGCTGCATCTCGTCACGGGAAGCAAGTCACCCTGTGGATAAAGCCTGGCTTACGGTGGCCGTGGGAGCTCCGGTCTGTCAATCCCTTAGACGGCGGCAGACGTGGAGACTCAGCATTGCATGCAGAGCCTGGCAACCAGGGTGCATCCTCCTTAGAGACCACACAGCCGGTCAGCAGGTGGACACCCGGCAGATGTTCCTGATGGGCTCGCCGCATGGTGGTTGAAAGGAATTGGTTAGCAAAGAAATGAAACTCGCTTGTGGGTCCCAGCTACTTGGAAGGCTGAGGCGGGAGGATTGCTTCAGCCAGAAGGTCAAGCCACGATGAGTCATGACTGTAATACTGCACTCTGGCCTGGGTGACAGAGCGAGACTCCGACTCAAAAATAAAAGGAAAGCAAGCTCAACCCTACTCTCCATAGCAGGAGGGAGAATTTATCAAAGTAACTGAAACAAAAATCTTAGATGATGTAATTTCAGTGGGCTAAATGAGCTGTCCAGCCACGTAGCTGGCTCACAACACAACAGAGCCAGGTGCTGCTGCAGCTGCCCTCCCACCCGATCGCTTGTGGACATTTTCTGTTTTCCCATATCTCTTTTGGATACGTAGCTCCCTCCTTTATAGTTAAGTATCAGTAAAACAGGTTGTCTATTTTGACACCTAATTATGGTGTCTTTTAAGGAAAGAATATGAAGCAGATGAGAGGAGCATGTAGGTGTGGTGAATAGATTTAGATGAATATTTAGTACTTGGCACCACTCTGATCCCTCCTCCTTCTCTCATGCTTAATTACAGCTGCCGCCTCCCAGCACAGAACACTTTCAGCTCTGTGAGTAGGAATTAGATTTTCTAAATCAGAAGTTTGAGTTAAGTGGTATTTTACATGAATGGCCAGTCCCTAAGTGTTCTCTGTACTGGTGTGTGGTATAGAGGAAGGAACGGGGGCTTGGGGCAGGGTCTATGGTGCAGTGTCCTGGTTCCCATCTGTTGAGATGAGGGCCATGAGATGGCCTAGAAGGTTCAGACTGTGGAGATTGAATGGATCTGCCCACTCCTGGGAAGCCTCGAGTCTAACTTGACTTGGGCTGGTTTTAGGGAGATGTCGGCAGCACTGTCCTCACGGGTCACTGGCAGGGGCTCTGGCACCATTCCCGTCAGGTGTCTCATGATCAGCCCAGCTTGCCCATCTGAGAAGCTGCTGGTCGTGTTCTCGTTCCTGTTGTTTGTTGCTTAGGTTCTGTTCATGTGGGGACCTAGGAAGTTCCACAGTGAGAGGAGAGCTGCTGAGCCGCCTTCCTGCCTGGACGCCAGCCCCACAGAGGACCGTGACTGCTTGAGGTTGGCTTCTGCCCCCAGCATCACCTGTGGACGCAGTGGTAGTTTCTAAGCTCCTGGGGCACACAGCGCGGTTGTGTGGATCCACAGGACACTCTGGCGTTCAAGCTCGTGCCTCCCGGAGGAGAGGACCCTGTGGGCGCTGATGCTGGGAGCTGGCCGAGAGTCCAGTGCGTAAGACTCCCTGTGACGTGCACAGCTGCCATCTGCGCAGCCCCTCCTGATACCAAGATGGTCGTGCGATAAACGCACAAGCGCATCTCCAGCAAAAGGCCGCAGAGTTTCCACATCCAGGATATCCACCGCGGTGGCTTTTTGGTGTTAATACGATGAATGTGAGCAACAGGTGGCCTGCGTTCTGGGGGGGTGTGACGGTGCCACTGCAGTTTTGTTCTCATGTCTTGATGAGCATGAGCGGCTCCTGACGAGGGTGGGTAAGGATGCTGGGACCGGAGACGCTGCAGGATTGTAGCTTCAGGAACAAAGGAGGTTTTCTCTCTTGCAAACCCTTCAGGGAGGAAGTTCCAGGCTGGTGACTACTCCATGAGGTATTTGGGGATCCAAGTTCCTTCCAGACCCCTGCTTTGCGTTCCCAAGGACACGGCTGTCCTTGCTGTGGTTGGGACTGGGTGAGTGCCAAGCTGGCAGAGTGGGGTGTGGGGGTGAGGCTTAGGGTGAGAGTGGCCATGATTTGCCTAATCTACATAATGACAGGGAGCTGGGAGTAAAGTGTAGCCATGGTCTGGAGGACGGATGTTGGTGAAGGACTGGCTGCACTCACCGCAGCTGGCCCAGGGATGGGGAAGGATGGCTGATCATGCCATTCAATGGTACCTGGTTCTTTCAGATTTGACCTTCTTATGGATTTTCTGCTATAAAGAGGAGAGAGCCTGTGGTTCTAGGCCAAGCATCTCACTCATCTCAAAACATCTTATATCCCTTAGCCAACATTTATGTCAAGTTTTAGAAGTCCTACAAACTGGTAAGCATTTCTCAATCTGGTTTAACCATTGGATTTTATATCTGTGTCTGCATCTCTATTTACATCTATGTGGTTATTTGACACTCTGTAGTACATTTGTAATAGGTTCTATTCGTTGGAAGTTACTTTCAGCAAACCCTTGCTGCTGCTAGAATTTTCAAGGTTGCAAGTAGAAAGGAGAGAATAAAAACCACATCTTCTCTAATTTTAAAATTTGTTGTTCCTCAAATCACACCAGAAGTACAAATATTACAAATTACAAAAGCAGCCAGAATCAAGAGATTTCTGGGTGATTCTGGCTAATCAGCAGTATTTGCTGAGGTGTGTGAAGCACAGCAACACACCAAGAAGCCCTGGATGGGGGAGAGTTGGGAGGCCAGGCTGTGACTCCAGAGGTGCTGTTGCCTCAGGGAGAGGAGCTAGATGCAGAGAGGATAAATGGCTGCAGGTGCGACCACCGCCGTCCTTGCTGCGGTACGGGGGCCTTTGTACGGGGGCCTTTGTATGGGGGCCTTTGTATGGGGTCCTTTGTGAGCTGGGTTATGAACCAGGTGAAGGTCGTGCAGGCGTCAGAGAATCGAGGCCAGACATGACGGGTGGAGGCTTGGTGGAGGTGAGGAGCCAGACAGCCTCGCTAAATGTGCGGTGGCTCACTGCAGACAGCGTCCATCAGTCGCTAGATAGGCTTGATCTTCAGCCCCTACGACAGCTGCCTTTATCCTGTCTGTCTCCACCTTCTGAGGCCTATAGGCATCTCAAATGTGTGTTTCTTAAACAGATTTGGATGAGTTGCTTTCTGCATAACACACCTGGACAGACGGAGGCTGGTTCTCCACAATGGCACCAGGGACTTGGCGGAGACTGGCGGGACAGAGGCACAGCACCAGCTCCCTGGGAGAAGGCAGTGCCTGTGGGATGGAGGAAAGAAGAGGCACACAGTGCTGAGGTGTGAACTCTAGTTTGCTCTTAGACATGACACACATGCTTTCTGGAGGTTTCCACGAAGCACCGTTAAAGCCACCAGTGTGGACAGGTCCTAAGATCAGGAGACCCAGAACATACGTGTATTTGAAATCCTTCATGTGCTGCAATCTCTTCAAAGAGGACCACAAGTCATCTCTAATAATGTTGTCAAATTAATTTTTTAATAAGTGCCATGGCTTTTTTTTGTGTGTGTGGGGTAGGGCTGGTCTGTGACAGTAAAACATGCAGTGGCACAGCTGGTGGGTGTTGGTTCTGGGCCCCAGTTAGGCAGTTGTATGAAAACAAACCAAAAAGTCTCCACAGTGGTATGAACCGAAACAACTGGATTACGTGTTTTCATGTATTTAACATAAATGCACACATTTGTATTCTAAACACACATTTTTCTATATGTAATAAAATTCACACCTTTAAGTATTTAGCATAGAAACAGCTGTGCAGCATCTTCTCCATGCCCGCAGACACCCGGATGTTCTGAGTGGAAACCGCACTGCTGTGGACTTTGTGAGTGGTGAGCCGTGCACAGATATGTGCTGTGTTTGCTGTGTCCGCTGACGCAAGCCCTGGTCAGTCCTGTTTCAGGTGGATGTTTTCCCTTGTAGTTCCCTTCTCTTGTTCTGTTTGTAAGTTCAGTAAACTCGGGACCAATGGTGAGAGTAGGCGTAGAGGAGCACGGTGTCGGCAATTAAGGAAAATCCACCCCAGACCTTGCAGAAGGAGGAGGCGTGTGGAGTTCCGATGCCTGTGTGAGCCATGACTGGTGAGGGCCTCTGGGTAGCAGCTCATCTGGGCTACTTGGAAATGCAGATTCCTGGGCACAGACCTGAGAGGCCGTGGAGTGACCACCCTCCAGGGATTCCGCCCAAACTTGGCCATCTTGTCTTTTGGCAGATCACCCGTGCCCAGCTGTCTCATTGAGATGCCCGGCTATCACAGTTATCTGCACAGCTGGTGTGGGTGTGCCGATGGGTGTACGGGACTGGCCTGTCTTCCTTTCTCCCCCTGTGAAGTGTTTGAAGGTCTGTTATCCTACCCTGTTCTCTCCCTGTCCTCAGTGGGCAAGCAGGAGGTTCATTTTCACTTGCAGATGAGGAAAATTCTAAAAGTCTCATAAAGCAGGGAGGATCATCTTCAGAATCTTCTTTGTTCCAATCAGCTCTGATATTTTCAGTTGGAAAGACTTTTCCTCAAACACTTTGCATTCGTTCTGTATGAGAAGTGCTGTAGACTTTCCTGTTGTTTTAGTAATTAGGATCTGTTCTGTTGTCCATTACAAACGTATATATTTTCATTCTGAGACACGCTGAGTCAGTCTTTGCAGTCCAGAGGGATTTCATGTGCATTCATAGAAGCTTCCATCAGAAACCACATGCCAAATAGCTGTGGACATACAACCTGCTTGTGACTTTGGGAATTGCCAAAGTCAAATTCTCTCTCGATTTGAGGCTTTAGGAGCTTTAGAAATCTTGAAATTATAAAACGAACATGTGACAAAATTAAGTGTATGTCAAACAAAAGAGATACTATACTGCGGGTTTTAAGGGCTGTGGTACATTATTTGGTTATCTTTAAGGATGTCGTGTTCCACCCAAGTTACAAATACATGAAATTTAAATATAAGGTGACCCCTTCAGAACATCCTGGATTTGGTCTTGATCTTCTGCCCTTGAAAATGAGATTCTTTTTTTTTTCTTGAAAATGTAATTCTTTTTTTTTTTCTTGAAAATGTGATGGTCTTAAACTGTGTGTCTAGACCATCTCATCTGAATTGCTTTGGAAACATCTGCACGGGCATCTTTCTATTCTTGGGTATAGAGAGAATGACATCATTATGCTTTAAAATAGCAAAAGTCCCGTAGAGCAGTTTTTCTTAAACTAATGAGCTATTGTTGGAAATCAAGGTGTGTAGCAAGTTATAGAATCTCTCAGTGAAAGTGATTATTTAAAATAGAAATCTTAGTTTTTAAAATAAAATGCTAATAGAGAACCTTTTGTTCACAAGAATCTAAAATGTTACGTCTTTGTTTAGAATTTAAGGATAGTAATTTGCTTCTGAGATCTTTGTGACTGAGATTTGAAATCTTAACTACGGTTTATCAATGTTTTATATATATGCATGTATGGATATATATATGTAAGGTATATAAAATGAAAATAAGCATGCATGTATTTACATTTATATACCCTTCTATAATGTGTATACTTCTAGTCACACAGAGGTCTAAGTGACTATGACTTTATTTGATGACCAAGAGGATAATTAAATAATTTTCCTGCTCTTAGCCTTGCTTTTGCATCTGATCAGGGACCCTGCGAAGTGTGCCTCCCATGTTCCAGGCCTCACACAGCCCGTGCCAGGTTTTGGAAGCAGGAGTTTGTCTGCAGCCACTTCGGGAAGCAGGTGGTTGCCAGGATTGCCTAGAGCTCCAGGCTGTCTCCAGTCCAAGCCTCCCTGGGTAGAAGCTGCCCCACTAGGGGCCTGGACATTGGATGTTGGGGCCTGGACATGGATGTTAGGGCCTGGAGCCAGGGACTGCTCCGGAAGAAGCGCTCCTGTCACTGCTGGGCATGAGAACCGAGGACAGGAGGTGGAACCAGCCTCGGGCCAGTGCACGGCCTCCCGGGAGTGCTTGCGGGAAGCCCCAACCACCCTTTCCTGACTCCAAAGCCAGCACCAAACTGTGAGATCCCCTTGGCCCACCCCTCAGGTTCCTAAAATGGTTAGGGTTTCCTGGGCTGTGAATTTTTAAGTCTAGGCTAAAAAGTCCTGGGACAGACTCACAGGGTTCTTCATGTAGAAACGACGAGGGTGCTGGAGACTCAGAGCAGGCACTGCACCTCACTCCAGGGTCCTTTGCGCCAGGTGGAAACGAGCGTGTGGGTCACACAGAGTCCCTGTATCCTCGCTCCAGGCATTGATCTTTGGTTTCTTACTTAATAAGCCTTGATAATGAAAATGTGTTCTCCCCAGAGTAGAGTTTCCGGTTACGGAGGCTCACCTGTAAAAGTCGTGCCAGGTCACATATGCTGAGATCTGGGCCAGGTCCTGCTTCCTGCCCATGGCCAAGGCAGGTACTTCATTTGGGAGGTGACCCAGAGGGACATCTGAGAGGCCTGCTTGTCCCCGAAGGATGAAGCCGCTGGCCTTCACACTCTGCTCCGGCCTCCATCAGCTCCCTGCTATCTGCAAACTGCCTGCTTTTATGTTGCCATCGTTGGAGATATGTTAGGAACTTCGTATGGAGAAACCCCCTTAGGACGGGCAGATCGTGGAAAGGTGGGAACCAGGGCTGGGAGGGCAGTGACCACGGCCAAAATGAGAACCGCGGTGGGCTGGGAGGTCCATCTTCTGTCTAAAATGTTTTTTAAAATAGTGTCTCAGGAGCATGAGAGGGCAGGCCACAGATGAGGAGAACGTATCTGTAGAAGACTCATCTGATAAAGGCTGTTATCCAAACCGTGCAAGGAACTCTCAAAACAAGAAAATGAACAACCTGATTAAAAATGGAGAAAAGACCTGGACAGATACCCCAACAAAGAAGATACACAGATGGCAAATCTACACGTGGAAAGATGGCCCGTTTCTTATGTCATAGGGCGAGGCGCCACTGCACACCCACCAGCCTGGTCAATACTGGAACTCCGACACGACCGTGAGCTGGTGGATGTGTGGGTGTCAGGACCGTCACTCGTCCCTGGGGGAAGTGGGGCAGCTGGTGTGGGGGGCAGCGTGGCGGTTTTCCATGGAACTAAACACTCCGACCACAGGAGCAATCACAGTCCTGGACGTTCACTCAGAGGAGCTGAAAACTTACTTCCACGAGGAAATGTGCACACAGATGTTGACAGCAGTTTATAGCTTTATTTACAATTGCCAAAACTAGAAAGCAACCAAGATGTGCTTCAGTAGGTGAACGGATAAACTGTGTTACGTCAGAAACTGGGATACTATTCAGCACTAAAAAGAACTGGACCACTAAGCCATGAAAAGACACGGATCTTAAACGCATGTTGCTAAGTGAGTCTCCAATCTGGAAAGGCTGCCTGCTGTGTGAGTCCAACCGCAGGGCAGTCTGGAAAAGGCAAAGCTGTGGAGACAGTAAAATGGCCAGCGGCTGCCAGGGGTTGGGGAAGGGAGGGATGAATAGGAGGAGCATAGGGGGCTGTGTAGGTTGGGGAAGCAACTCCGGATGGGGCTTTCATGGGGGATCCATGCCGTTCCATGTCTGTGAAACCCACAGAGTGAGCAGCAGCAGGCCGAGCCCTCGTGGGAGCTGTGGACTCTGGGTGGTGGTGCCGCATTGATGCGGGTCTGTCGGTCATACAGAAGTGTGCTGCTCCGGTGGGGGCAGGAGAATGATGGAGACTCTGCCTGTGCTGGGGAAGGAGATAGATATGTGAGGACTCTGTACTTTCCTCCTGATTTGGCTTTGAACTGAAAACTGCTTTTAAAAACGTCTATTGAAAAGGCAAACAAGAAAGAATGCTAGCCAAAGAGTGCTAGCCAGATAGCATCTGTGTGAGGGTGTGGCCTGTGTTCTACGTTCAGGATTTCCGTGTTAGAATACACATATCTGAATTACTCAGAAGTTAAACCTTTGCATTAAGTAACTCACTACAAAGTTACAGTATCAGCTTGAGCACTGGCAGGATAGCCAGGATCCTGTATCCTGACCAGCTTCTCCCCTTACAGGTGCAGTGACACCCACAGCCTCACCCCAGTGAGCAGCAGGGCTGGGACCAGGAGTCAGGCTTTGGGGGGCGGAGAGGAAGTGAGATCTGTAAGGCCGTGGCAGGGAGGAGCCCATGGCAGGGAGCCGGCATGGATGATTTTTTTTTTTTTTTTTTGCTAGTTTTCCTTATCACTGAGGCCTTCTTAGACTTGGGGAGTCGGGAGTCCCCACTTTCGGGCACCTCAGAAACCAAAGACTGCTGCTAATTCTCATGTTCCAGATGCCTCAGGGGGAGGTACCTGGGGCGTTGGGTGCAGTTCATTATTTGCTGCTCGGTGGAATTTGCCCCCAGCATTTCTGGTGGTTTTTAAGAGCTGATGCTTGAGCTGCTTAAAATCACACATGGATATTGATTTACCTGTAAAAGTTAAGAATGGAATTTTGAGTTCAAAGGTTTGTGAAAATGTTCAAGTTTGTGTACTAATATATACGTTACATTTCTGGAAATATCTAAAAGTCCAGGATTTATATTAAACACTTCTCTTGATTTTTGTAATACCTACCTCTCATATTTCCATTTGGATAATAGATGTCAGAGGGCTTAAATTTTGAGTGCCTGAATTCACTGAATTTAAGACTTCTTACCTCAAATGTAATTAAACTGAATGTAGCCAACAGTATTATAAGTTTTGATTAAATATATATATAAGCACATATCCATGAGCATGCAGATGGGGGCAACATATTAAACCATGGAAGTAGAATTAGTGTTCTTTGTTTTCTGAGAAGACAAATTTTTAAAAAACCAAGGGGTCTTACAACTTTTTAGTTTCCAACTTATTTACCCTAACGTGAAAGTTTGGCAGGAGAAGATTGACAGCAGCAGAAGAGTAGATCCTGGGCAAGTGTAGGCTCTGGGAGCAGCGGGGTGAGTGCTGGAAGGAGCTGGCTGGAGGCAGAGCAGGGAGGTGCTCAGACAGGTCAGGATGGCCTCAGGGAACGCGGCTCAGTGAGAAAGGGTTCACATTTCCTGGAGAGCCCTTGTCTCTGCCCATGGAAAACCCAGACTCCTTCCAACTGGGATGTGCATCTCATGTAAAAGTTACTACTCCCAGAAAGGAAGCCAGTGGATATAGAATTTTTTTTGTATGCAGAAATTACTTTAAATTTGTTTTTAATCTTATCCTTTTCTTCCCCCATCTTAGTGTCTAGTGACTTCCTGCAAGTAACGCACACATCTTAGGAGAGCGCTGTATTTCAGTTGCTGTTGGCTCTGATGTGACTTTGTGGTGTCAGAGGTTCTGCCCAGAGCGTGGCGCTCTCTGCTGAGCGTTGCTTGTTGAAGGCCCGTGTGGAAACTTTGCCTGTAAGCTCGTCGACCCCAGCAGTCTTGGTTCAGAAACCTTTGGACTTGCTGAGACTTCACAGGGCCTGCTAAACTTTCTTGCGTGACCTTTTCGTTTTAGTGTTCCCTGTTAATTCAGATGTTTTCCAGAAGGTAAGTAAGCTGCTGAATGCAGGGTGGGGGGTGTCCTCCATTAGCCCTGGGGAGAAGCATCGCTGTTTCTCCGGGTGGAGCTTCCCTCCCGCCATGGTGTGCTCCAAGATGGAGTAGGGTTCTTTGGCAGAAGTAACCGTCAAAGGCCCGCCTCTCAGCGGCAGTGTGGCTGTGGGTGTGCGGCCTTGCGGCCATACGGGCCCCTCCCTGTCAATGGCACCAAGGAGAGGAGCAGGGGGAGGCCTGGGATCTGTGCTTCCGAGACTGTGTCGTCCGTTTGTAACTAGACGTGCAGAGAAAATGTTGGAGATAAGCAGGCGACAGTGTCTGTCCCTAATGAGCTCAGGCGTGCCGTCTGAAATGGCCCCCTTCTCAGGCTGGCTGTGCCAGCTGGGCGCCCAGGCCTGACCTCCCGCCAGGACAGAGGCCCTGTGTATGTGGTGGGGGGAGGGTGGGGGTGAGGGTCTTCCTTTATTGCGGTATCCAACGCCACCGGGGGTCAGCGATTGAGTTCAGAAACCTCAAAAACTCAGCAGTGCAGACTTTGGACATGACCCGTCCAGCCCTGGGGCTCTTTCTCTGAATTTCCTTCCATGGTATCCTCATCCCAGAGGCTCCTGTCCCCGCACGGCTGTTGGCAGCTTCACAGCTTCCTCTGCCTCCCCTCCCAGGCCCTGGTGTGGCTGGGGCAGCTGGTGGCTGTGCAGACCCCACAGCCAGTAGGTGGTCGGTGCCAATGGCTTGGGTCTGGGTTACCTGAGCCAAGGACTCCAGTGCACGGCTGAGCTCACCTTGAATGGCTGCATTGGAAGGCCTTGGGTTGTAGAGAGGCAACCAGAAGATTGCGGATTGAAGGACAATCTGCAAAGGAGAAGGGGAAATAGGTGTGCTGGATGGGCAACTGGAGAAGTCTGTGGAGAGCCTGGGACCCGGTACAGATGCAGAGCTGGCATGGGGAATCTGGTGACACGGCCACCGTGGAAGTGGACAAAGTCAAATGGTTCAGACCGACATGGAGGGGCTGGTCTAAAACGATCCTCCTTTTCCTTTAATCGTAGCATCTGCTGGCTTACGGGGTGGGGGAATGAGATCTGTGGTGGCAGCGAGGAGA